ATAATTCAACTTGATATTTTTGTTTCATATTATCGTATCAACATTTAATATAGCAAAATTCACTATGTAACCGATGCTTATCTAAATTACCAATGTGAAATACATCACCAACATATGGACATCCTCTTTAGTAAGAAAATGAACTGATTAAGTATAAAGAAATGATGATTTTTCAAATAACTCACTAACATTTTCGAAATAAGATCCAATATAATCGATCACTATATTGATAAACGATTCAAATACTTTCATTAATTATTCGATTTTACTTTTCGTCAGTTTCTTTTGATTTTTTTTACTACTAAACGTATATTATTACCACAATAATTGTCGAATAGCTTTTGATATAGTTTGATGATCAGATTGGTAATTGTGAAATAAGATCAGCTGTTATGTTGTACATGAAACTTGTAATTGTACTTCAGTATTTTGAATATTAATATAAGCCTTTGGTGGTGAAGAAAGAATGTGAAAGTCTTCTACTACTCTACATCATCTCGGTTAAATTATATAAACTTCAGGGCCATTATTTTCTACAAAAAATGAGTTTATGTAAAAAACGATATATCGTACTCGGTCTTCGTCATATTTAAATGAATTTCACTAATGTAAGTGTTGTGATATTTTATTTTGAAAGAGAATAAAAAAATCTTAATTCACAACTAAAAATATTTATATAATGATAAAAGATGAGAAACAGTTCAGAAAAATAAATGTTATTAATAGTAACAACAACAGAGAGAGAAGATTAAGGAGAGAACATCAAAGAAGATGAAAAAAATCAATAATAACGAAAGTAGAAAATTGAGAATCATAGAGTAACAACTATTAAAGATGGTATGTTTCACTATTATCTTCAGTATTTCACTCGTTTGTCTATATTATGAATTGATGATTTTGAAGAACTGTTCAGTATTCGCACTTAAGCACAACGAGTTACTAAGCAGATTAATCATCGATGGCTGTCTTGAATGTCGTTCTCATGAATTCGATAACTATTGATTTTTTCTACTACGTACAACACCGTGATCTTTTCAGCAATCAATCAAAAAATTATAATTAATAGATAAATGCACATGTAATCTTTCATATGTATTTAAATAGAATTTATATTTTGTCTAATTTGAGTAAGCGATAAATAATACCAAATATCCAAAAAATTGCATCAGTATTGAGAAATTGACATCATGAATATTTATCACTATGATTAAGTAATTAGTCAACGACGAATCTCTTCGTAAATATGAATCAGCTATAGACATACAGACTTTCATCTTTAAATGTATTCAAAATATTTGCAATGTTAATAATGAAGAGGAAATGGATAGTAAGAAAACGAAAGTCAAACTGTAAACAATGATATAGCAACCATTTACTGTTGTACCGTTTGTGTTTTAATAATATTTTTCCGATTATTATTGCGAATTTCATTCAATTTTGTATTTGTACCATGAATCAATACTGCAAAGGGATCGATCAAAATATTCTTTTCTTTATTTTAGACATACAAACATATATATATATATAAATTATTGAGCATCATTTATCAAAAAAACAATCTAGAATGCTGTTTAATGTAGATATAAGATTTTACACCTTAGACATCTTCTTTCATATTTTTTAATCATTTCGTCTACTTTAGTGTCACCTTGAACAAGTCGGTTAGCAAGAACGGTACAATAGATGAATTAGTTCATACCAACGTCTTTAACAGAGTATACACAACTTACACTCTCCCAAGGATAAAAGTGCATTCTTTCTTTCAATTGTTTCTTGTTCTCTTTCTTGTGTTATTATCTATAGATTTGAATGTCATTGTGTAGGCAATAATGTCAATTGTATTTGTATACATATATTATATGTTATTTGCGTATTATTTTGTTTTATTTTGTATTTATTTCAAAACGATTCATTTTAGTGACATTCAAAGAACAAAGACAACAATGCAAAGAAGAAAAATATACTATTTAACCGTTTTCAGTTTAGATTGTAGATATGCCTAAAGGTGTCTTTTTTTATGGTAAAGTAGTATATTTTTCTTCCTTACATTGTTGTTTCTGTTTTTTGAATGTCACAAAAATGAATCATTTTGAAATAAATATAAAATAAAACAAAATATAATATATGTATAATAATACAGTTCACTCTGTTGCCTCTATAATGACATACAAATGTATAGATAGTAATACAAGAGAAAGAGAAGGAAACTATTGAAAAAGGAACTTATCGTTGTTCATGGTAGACCACACCGACGTTCATTCCATTTACTGTTTGCCATTATCTTGATAATCGACATTAACGTTAATGAATATAGACTGTCTATGTTTCGCAGCCATATAGTTTTGTATGATGCTTGGGTTAGAAATCTACCATAACCAGAAAGCATCTGTATTTTGAATTAATAATGAGATTTTGGACAGATTTAAACTGACTCTAAATCAGAAATACGGAAAGGTGCCAAGTGAGAACCTTTGCAAAAATTAAATTATGCGAAAAATCGATTTGAAAATCATGAAGTAGTCGATTACAATCAATGTAAAACATACAAAACTCGATTAAAATTCTAACATTTTTAATTGCACGACATTGATAAAAAGTCATTTTTGGCACGATTGTAAATTGCTCTTAGTAAAAAAGACAGAATAATCGATAAAACTTCGATAGCTTTGATTATTTTTCGATTATAATCTATTGAAAATTGAGTTTCTTGTGTTCTTTTATTAAATTTTTTCCACAAGAGTTCTAGAAACTACGATGGAAGTGCTGCCGGTCATGTTTTGTTCTATAACATTTGTTACTTATGGAATTACCATATTTTTCAAATATTGCATTTTTTCAGCTTCGAAAACTATTTGTTCAAAACGAAGCATATCTGAACCATATCTGCCCTGAAAGACTATTTCACAGTGGTTTTTTCATAGAACCAAGAAAAATGGTGTTCAGAATATATCAAGTGAAGGCTAAAATTAGCAATCACTCAATATTCTTTTCTCATTCAATATTATCAATACTCAATGAACATGAAAAAGAACGTACACTATCATCGTATGCTTTTTTTTTCTTCTCATTCCTTATCTAACAAGATATTACCATTGTGATTTTGATTGATACAATTCGCATTTTTTTGACAGTGACAAGGATCATTTATCTCATTATCTAACTATTGTTACTATAATCAACGAAAAAATATCTAATATGTGTCCCAAGGACAAACCATCTATTAATAAAAACAAGATGCTTGCTTTGCATCAAAGATTGTGATAAGAAGGTCAACTGGAATTTTTTTCTTTTGAATTTACTGGATTTTCTTCCGAATTCCAGAGTTCTTTTTCATGCTATATGCTCTAAAAGTATTATATTTTTTATCAGACTCATTGAAAGAATTGACTCTTAACTATCCTTTGAAAAAGTTTTATGAAAAAGTGTACCAGATTTGTCCTTCTCATAAATAATTGTCCGCACATAATTGTTTATTCAGAACGAATGTTCCTAAGCAATGATGCCTCGTGTGAAAATGCCACTCATTGTCATCTGTTGTTTTTTTTTAAATATATAAGAATCGAAGCATGGAGCGAGAATGTGAGTCGTTTATTAATCTCCATTCATCTCTCAACCAATAATTAAAAAAATATAGGATTGATTTAGTAACAACAAACTACGAGCCAAGAATTATTATCGAGTTTGTCAATATTATGATCCATGTTAACACACAAGATCATACACTGCTCTTCTCATATGCCTTTCTGTTTCTCTTTTTTTTATTCCCTGTATATGTAAAAACATATGTGTTCTACTCTCATATGTGATTATGTGTATGCGTGTGTGTGTGTCCTGAAGTGAAAAAAAAGAAAGTATGAATCATCCAGAGCAAGTGGCGACCCTTGGCAGAATAAAAGAAACACATGCGCTTCATTTTTTCATTGTGAATATTGAATTTTGATGGACACATGTAATACACTTAAATTAACTGACTCATCAATTACTGATCTTCTACTTTCACCTGAACATTGAAAACCAGCAAAAGTTACATCAAAATCACAATTAAAATCGACTTTTACTTAATCTTTATTAGTGAAACAAAAACTATCTTCATCTACTCTAAACAGTCCTCGTATAGTTTGGCAATTAATTTCAATCATGTCTGAAACCAATAATATTTTAAAACTAGAAGATAATGCAACGTAAACAGTTGTCATTGAAAAGTAAATTTCTATGAAAAATTCCTATTTTAATATCATCATATGAAGCTAATGTTAGCGAATTTTTATCTCAAGCTGAGGATATTTATAATAAGCTAAAATACTCTGATGATGTTGGTATTATTATTGAAATAGGTACAAAATTAGATGATATATTACAATCATGATTTACAAGTTTTAAACGACATAGTATTTTTACATGCAATGATTTCAAAAATGACTTACAAAATTGTTTACAATTATGATCATTATAAAAACAACAATAATTGATAATAACATGCATGAATCGAATATTTTAAATTAGAACAATTACCTTATCGTGGTGTTTCTATCGAACAAAAACCAAAGTCTTTATCATGACATTCACCTATTGTTATCAATGATAATTTAGATAATAATTTGGTAAACTTTTTAAATGATAAAACAAGATCAAATACTTGTAATATTGTAATATCATCTGATTCAAATCATATTTGATTATCAAATTCTATCTATTACCAACAATATATAAAGCCTTAATTGATAGGTTCGTTAAGGATTCAATCAAATTTTCTGGTGAAACAGATAATGTTATTACATGACTTGATGAAATTGAACAACAATTTAACATCATGAATCTATGTGATTTAGATAAATTAAATTTGATTCATATGTGTCTTAAAGGAGAAGCACATCAATCGTATAAACAACATTAAGCATAATTCATACATTGGTCTACATTTATTAATGAAACTAAAATAATCATATACATCAAATTTACAACATGATTTAGCATTTAAAAGATTAAAACACTATTAACAAATGGTTCATCAATCTGATTCTCAATATTATGCTGAAATGATCAAGTTAATGCAAAAAGCTCATTCACACATGAATGAATCTATAAAAGTTCACTACCGTATAAATGGACTTCGTCTATCTTTATTTACTGAAACACGAAGAAATTATTCAAAAATTGCACATTTTTTGTAATAAGTTAAAGTTGTTGAATAACTTACGGCATTAAATACCACCTTTGCCTTCAGTTCTATGATCGATGATGATTTAATACCATCTACTTCTTTTTCACGTTCAACAGCTAATGCCACATCAACAAATGATTTTAAAGGTTATTCTCGAAATTCCAATGATGATAATCATTATTATAAAGATCATTATTCATCTAATGAGTCTGATCTACAACGTTATTTGAATAAAATTTCTCAATCATCTTCATATAATTCATATGAATAAAGCCAGTCTTCTCATCCATCTTGTCAAGTACATAATCGTAAATCACCAAAACATTTTATAACACCATTGCTTAGTGATAATACATATCGAAAAAATAATTTCAAACAGCAATAACCATGTTAACGTTGTTTTTAATGTGGCTCTTTAGATCAGATAGATTGCCATTGTTACCATTTCAGAAAGCAATGCCAATGATTGATGATATTGACTTCACCTATTCAGCTCAATCTCCATCTAAGCCTTCTCTTATTGTTTTTCAGCATATGTTAACAACAAACAAACGAAAATTTTGATTTATACTAGAACACAACATTCATTTATCAATGAAAAATGTTTAAAATTGAATTATGAACTCAGTTTTTCACTTGTGCATCATCAAAAACTTTTTATTGTCGATGGATTAGCTTCTTTCATTGTTGGAGGAATTGTTAATTTGACTATTCGTATAAGTGACATTATAACAAATATTTCAGCATTTGTAACAAAGTATTTATGTGCAAATCTTATATTAGATATGAATTATCTCTCGAAATATGATTTAGAAATTAAACCAAAGAAAAAAATCCATCTTATTCAGTTTTAATGGTCAAAAGATCACGTTACCTATGAGCATGGAAATGGAACCTATTGGTTTTCCTGTAAAATTATCAAATTCTACGAAAGCAACACCAAATAAACAACTATATACAATTACGACATCATCACAATTTACTACAACTCAACAACAAATTTTTTATTTATTAGATCATATTACTAATCGAGTTCAGCATAATCCAATTCAATCATTATTATTTAAATTTTGAATCTACTTTTGATGCAAACAAATAATAGTTACACAAACAAAAATATCTCATGCTATAGAACCGTATTCTTATACACCACTTGTTTCGAAAATCTATTGTGATTATCCAACTGTAAATTCAAGAATGCGATTGATTATTAATAAATTGCTCGACACTGGTCTTGTGCGCGAATCTCAATCAGTTTATGTAGCTTCCACATTATTAGTAAAGAAGAAAGATCATAGTTGAAGATTAGTTATTGATTGTCAAAAATAAAATTCAATAATAATCAAAGATGATTGTTCGCTCTCGAATATGGAAATTACTCTTCAAACATTAGGCACAGATCGTCATTACTTTTCCAAATTTGATTTAAAGTTTGGTTTTTGGAAATTATCCATTGATGAAAAAGATCGTTTTAAAACAACTTTTGTCATCTCTTTGGTTTATTTGAATGGAATGTTCTTCCTCAAGATCTTCGTAATACTTCTCAAAGTTTTCAACGTATCATGAATTATGTATTATCATCATGTACAAATTTTTCTTTGATTTGCTTAAATGATATAGTTATTATCGCTTGCACTTATGATGCACATTCAATTCATTTCGAGAAAGTTTTAAAAGTCTTACAATTATATAATTTAACATTAACTTAAACAAAATGTAAAATTGCTCAACAAACAATTGAATATTCAGGACATGTAATTAAGTCAACAGCATTTACTCCCTTACCAGATAATTGAAGTATTCCATGAATCATTTAGACATATTATAATATTGAATTTTTTACTAGTGTTAAATTACTGAGTTTGTATGGATTCATCGTCATATATAAGAATATATTTACTAGACACGATGAAATTATATTTATTATTGAATTTAAGAATAAATGCTTATTGGGTATGACCAATCTTATATTCTATTATACTCTTAATGCCATTTGTCACATTTCAAAATAATTCTATTGTTTAATATGAAACTCGAGTGATTTCATTTTATTATTTTGCAATTCGGCTTATCATACTTCATGTATTATTCTTTATATTTGATTATTTTTTCTAGCAAATTGTTTTCGATTCCGTTTGAATTGATGCTCTACTTGGTGAAACACGTGCTAAGGATCCTTTTCTGTCAGATATCAAGTCATTCACTTTACTTATTCAACTTTTATTTATTGGAGGAGCATTTCGTTTTTTTTACATAACTGTGCAACTTTTATTTTGTCGTGCTACATTACCCTATTTATTTCTTTGTCATAACTACTAAACTTGTCTTATCAGACATATATATGTATATATTTAACTACTCAATCATTTCTAAGAATTTCTGACAACAACATTGTTGTACAGTAAGAGGTTTTTTCTTCATGTTTCGGTTATGTAATTTTATTCGTTCTTTTTCTTTATTTCTGTTGTGTTATCTCTCATTTCTTCTGTCATTGTTTTCTCCTCATTTAAAAAAAAATAGATGACACATCGTTTCTTTTTTTTGCGTAACGCGAGAGAGTGTTATGATACATGATAACACACAAAATTATACATAATATCTTCTCATATACCTTTTTCTTTTCTTTTCTCTTGTCTTTCTTATCCTCTATATGTATGTAAATACATATATGGATTCTCATTGAAGAGTGTTGTTTTATGTATTTGTTGATATGCATATTTTAAACCGATAAAATAAATGAAATCAGACACTTCTTTAACAGAAGAGATCAATTATGATCAGACTTGACTTGACTCATCGATTTTATTGCATTGATGATTTCAATGAAAGGTTCTTATCGCTACTCCAACTAAGTGTATGACAAAATATTCTTAAATTTAGGACTTTAAGAATGCTCATTCGACATTATTCAATGAATTTAACCCTTTTTCAAAACTATGATGAGTAGGAATTAACAATCTAAACAATATTTTTATTTCGAATCCTTTTTCGAATATATATTATATCATCTTTATTTCATCGAATGACATATCAAGTATCTCATAATTTATATCATACTTGTATTGAACTTTGCAGAATTATTTATATATCTAATGTTGAATATCGTATACTTGAGATTTTATCTAATATTAATAATTCAATTTTTATAATTGAAAGATTTTTCTATCAATTTTATTTGAATATATTCAATACACATAATCATATTGTATTTATTGATCGAAATCTGTTCAATCGTATAATATAAGAGTCAGTCCGGCTAAACCACGACCGATTTTTTTCAATCAGAGATCCCAGAAATTTGATTGTACCTTGGAATAGTTCTTGACTCCGAAGTGCTTGAAAAGAAAATTTGAACACCATCCTATGCATATTTCGGGAGGAAATCTATCGGAAACGTGATTTTTTTCTTGTTTTCTGATAAAAACCATGAAAACTCTCATGAACAATCGTTCGAAAAATCGATAGAACTCAGCAGAAAGATCCTCAATAAAGATAAAAACTTTGGTTCTCTGCCTAAAAAATATGCTCTACAAGATGGGATAGATATCAGACAAGTCTAAGACGATGATTGCGCAGCCTCTTACGACAATAGGTCGTGATTTACGCGGACTGGCTCATAAATCATGGATATCTTGTTAATCAATTTACTAATCGAACTAAACATTTTCATATTAATCTCGATGATGGTATGATTGAATATATTGCATATAAATTTTACAATCTATATTTAAACAGCAAAATAATTTCAATTTCTTCCTTAATCTATCATAAAAGAATATCAGAAATTCTTTCACCTGGTTCTGTTCCGTTTAAATCAAATTATGGAACTGAAGAAAGTCTTCAATATTCACTTGAAGATTATAATTGAAATCTTTTCGAAATTAAGTCAATAACTTGACAAATTCTTTTCCGTAGTTAGTCAATAGATAAATTTTATTCATTTAAAACTCATATGAAACTAATTGAATAAATTATTATTGTTGTTTTTAACAATCAATGATTATAAAATAATCATCGTCGATATTGTCTTCATCTACTATTAAATGTAGCAAAATAATTTTCTGACGAATTTATAACAATATTACCATCCTAACCCGTATTTCAACAGCCATGACACAAAGTATTGATTTATTTTTCAGTAAAAAGCAGTTAATGAAAATTAAAAGTTTGTGTTCTTTTCAAATTTATGATCAGAAATTGATGCCTGCTGATATTCATGAAAACAGTAGTTATTTTTGTTACTTAATCTTATCGTAGATTATTCAAACCGAAACATAATTAGAATAAAAATAAATCCAAGTGTCAACAAAGAATTGATGAGTTTTATATAGTGACTTCTTATGTATTCGAATTTGATTTAAGTTAGCTGCTTGCTTTTGTAAATAGAATTAAAGCATCTCTCATGTCTACAAAGAAACATCTGTAAAAATTGTGGCAAAGTTTTCATAAATCTTTATCACTACTGCCCAGGTCGAACAAGCACGGTCGTAAACGGAGAAATACGGCAAAATACATGGCCCAGTATTACGATCGTATATCTCCGTGTCGTTTACGGAGAAATACGGTGATATACGAAGAAAAAAACGGTCGTTTACGATCCTCGTATACAGAGTCTGTATATGATCTCCACTTTGCTCCGTACTTCTCCGTATACGATCGTATATGTCCGTATATGGTCACGGCGATATACGACCGTAATACTGGACCATGTAAACCGCTAAAATACGACCGTTTACGGTCGTGTAGGGAGTGTATTCGGTCGTTTACAGTCGTATACGAAGTCCATAATCGTCGACCTGAGTGCTACTAAATTCAGTTGATGTTCGAGACTATTCATCTTTTTATCAAAATAATGTCTTACAACAAAAGGAGGCGTTGAGCCCAATATATCATGACTTGCCACGTAATTGTCTAAGACCATATCAATCTATATTAATCGTATAATGAATGAAAAATAATTCTATAGAAAATAAATGAAAAGACATCTAACGACTAACAAAATATAAACTAGTCAACATGCTCGTGTTATATTCATGTTCGGAGTAGTAACATTCACTGTTTCTATGATCAACATTAATAGATTCGACTATTAGCTGTTTTAAGTGAATTATTATAATACTTTAAACTTTAATTTTATCGACAATTAAAGCTAAGATCTGTTTGTGTTGTTTTTGTCGAATCGAGTGTGACATTTTCGGTTGAGTTTATTGTTTTCCATTATCTATTTTCATTGTTTGGTTGAATTGACTGTTCATATATGATGTTTAACCTGTCTTTGTTATTTCTTCTTATCATATTCCTTGTCCTTTTTTCTACTGTAACTATGTATTGTTAACCACCTCTCTCTCCTTGATTCTTTCTCTTTTCTTTCTCTCTCCTGGTTGCGTATAAAAACACGTGTTCACATATGGAAAAAGCAATTGATGATATGAAGATGGTGAATAAAGCTTAACGTCATCCGGATTAATTCTTCTATCTAATAGTTGTTACACTGAGCTTTTGAAAAAAAGTTGAAAAGCGAGCAAGCTTCATATCTGTTTATTGTTCTAACTTATTGAATTTTAACCTCTATTCATTCGAAAAGAAAAAGAAAATATTCCCATATCATATTTTTTTGTAACTATAGTCATTCAAGATATCATTTTTGATAATAATAGCATTCCATATAATCATGATATTCTATCAGGAAATACATATACTACCCATTTGCTACAAATAATCTTGGTCAAATTTAATATCACCAATGTTCATCAAAAAATCTGAAGAATATTTTGAATTAATTATTCGAACACCTAAATGGTCATACTTTATTTGTCTAGCAGCAAGTAATATTTTCTATTCTTTGCTTCGAAATATTAAAAAGTGTTTAAATTAGTGCCATTTCAACAAATAAATGAAAAAGAATCTTCAATCTGTACAATAATTGGTACAATAAAATATACTTGATTATTTAATAAATAATTCTTCACATTTAATTGATAACATATACCGGGTGAGGCAAAAGTTTTGCAACATTTTTTATTTCGCATATATCTCGACTTGAGAAAATGATAAAATCTTGGTTTATTTTTTGAAAGATGCGCCGTCAAAAGTTCTGCAAAAGTTGTATAGAAAATTCCTATTGACTTGTTCTGATCGTTCTTCCTATACTCAAAATGAAGAAGCAACATGATAGTGCTTTGTCCCACTGCATTGAGTATAATAAAAATGCTTGGAAGACGTTTCTGTTTGGCTTGGGAAAATGATAAAATCTTGGTTTTTCTTATAAAAGATGCGCCGTGAAAAGCTCTACAAAACCTGTATGCACAAATCCCTATTACAAAACAAAAAAGGTCTTCCAAAGATTTTTATTACGCTTAATACGGTGAGAAGTAGCCCTAACATTTAGCTTTTTCATTTTGAGTATGGGAAAAACCATCAGAACAAGTCAATATAGATTTGTTTATACAATTTTTGTAGAGCTTTTCATGGCGCATCTTTTAAAGGAAAAATCAAGATTTTATCATTTTCTCAAGCCGAGATATATGCAAAACAAAAAGAGTCTTTCAAGCATTTTTATTACGGTGGGACAAAGCACTATCATGTTGTTTCTTCATTTTGAGTATGGGAAGAACGATCACAACAAGTCAAGAGGAACTTTCTATACAACTTTTGTAGAACTTTTGACGGCGCATCTTTTAGAAAATAAACCAAGATTTTATCATTTTCTCAAGTCGAGATATATGCGAAATGAAAAATGTTGCAAAACTTTTGCCTCACCCCGTATATGAAATTAACTTGGTCAGCCCTAATTGGTCCCTTTTGTAATTGTTCAGATTTCGGACCTTAAAATTCTGTTCCAAGTTCGTCCCTATCGAAAAACCTTCGTGGTTAATTTATTCTAAATTCGTTCCCCGTAACAAATCGCTCGCGATTAATTGACTCCGGATTCGTCCCCACTTTATTTAATAGTCGAATGTTTTATGTTATGTAATGTGTACATTTACAACTGACGACAACCACAACCGGATTTATTTTGTTGAATACATCTCATAGCTTATGGGAAAGATACCTGTTATGAATAAATACAAACAGCTAACTGATCAATATATATTTTTATAGTCAAAATTGATTTCTTGTAATAATATTGAAATATGCTTCATTTCACTTCAACTGTAAGGATGTGAAAGGTGTTGAACTATGACGGTTTCCAGTATACTCTGAAACGTGAACAAAAAACAGTAGTAGAGTGGCGTTGTTGTTCACGCAAGTGTACAAGTACATTTTCTTTATCTCGTAACTAGCGGAAGTACCCGATGTCAGTTAAGATAGATTGATAGTAATGTATCTAACAAAAGAGAGAACGATACCGCTATAATCATTCTCTAATTAATGATCTTTAACGTAACAAAATCGCCGTTCGATGTTTTCCTCTGTTATGAGTTACTTTTATTAAAAGAAGACAATTTACTTATATGCATTTTTATTGTAAAGCTGTTCGATATACAATATTTCGAGTTTTACCATCAGGAGCGAAAATATACAAATTCTTTCCAGTTCCTACCCTTGAACATGCTACGTACAACTGACCATGTGAAAAGCAAGGAGTTTCCAGATGAATACCAGCAACTTTAAGTGATTGACCTTGAGCTTTATTGATAGACATTGCGAACGCAAGACGCACTGGAAACTGAAGACGTTTGAACTCAAACGGTATATCATTAGGAATCATGGGAATTCGTGGTATGAATACATCTTCTCCTTTTGCGCAGCTTGTTAAGATAGTTGCTTCAATCACATGGGGCATTAAACTTTTCACACAAAGTCTTGTACCATTACAAAGCCTTGGTGCATCTAAATTTCTTAGAAGTATTATCGGAGAGCCAATCTTGAGTACCAGACTGTGTGGCGGCATTCCAGGAGGTTCTAGCGAGTTGAGAAATTCGGTAGGATATTGTACTGCTTGGTCAATGTCCACAACCGTATCAATTGACTTATATGATATATCTACTCCAGGTAACTGTTGTTGGATCTGTAAGTTAATAGTATTCACGCTGTCATTTTTCGGAGCAAGAATAGCACGTTCTTATAGCCATTTGTGGTCATTGAAACAGCGTCGAATATCTGGAAATACACTGGTTTTGAGAGTTTCTATTGAATCTACTATATTACAAAAATTATTTGGTATTGTGATAAGTCCATTAGTTGGATCAGCAACTATTTTTCCATCTCCAAGATTAAGTAGTTGTTGAGCAAATTGGCCAGCAGCTACATCACCTTGTAAGTGAACTCGCATGTTGGTCTTGAGTTCCAGCTTATGAACATGTCTCCAAAGATATGAAGCTTTTAAGCAGGCTTTGAGTTCATCAGCCATCGTTCCTTTCGGGATGACTGGTAATGTTTGACGAAAATCACCAGCTAGAAGTAAGATAGCTCCACCCATGAGTTTTCCATTGTCGCGAAGATCTTGAAGTGTTCGATCAAGAGCTTCTAATGCTTTTCTGTGCGCCATGGTACATTCATCCCATACAATAAGCTTACATTCTTGTAAAACTTTGGCTTCTCCAGTACCTTTGCTAATATTACAAAGTGGAGTTTCACATTGTGTAAGATTGAGCGGCAACTTTAATGTTGAATGAGCAGTACGACCACCATGAAGTAGTGTAGCTGCAATGCCGGAAGAAGCCACTGCAATTGCAATTTCAGACTTCCGTCGAATTTTAGCTAAGAGTAGATTAATGAAAAATGTTTTTCCTGTTCCACCTGGTGCATCGAGAAAAATTATTCCACCGGCTTTCCGATTGATCCGATCTAATATAGTATTATAAGCAGCCTTTTGATCTGGTAACAGTAATGGTTCGTTTGTTGATATATACTCGTTCAAATCGTTCAAATCGTAGCTCGTCTCTCGCAGTATTTCTCTGGTCAATCGATCACCAAGAGTTCTTAGAGGAGTTGGAAGACCTAATTGTTTAAGATCTTTGCCAGCCATTGCCAGAGCTTTATCTTCAAGAATAATCAATGTTTGATTGAACATATCAGGTGTATAATTTAAAGCTAATCCAGGATTCTCTCTGCGAGCTTTTATGAGAATATCTTCGGTTAAACTTTCTTTGTAGGATTCCCATAATTTTCCCGGATTAGATGGACCACATACTAATAGTAAAATTATGAATAGATTTCTAAGTTGTGAAGGAGATTGAATCGTAGCTGCTTCAGTCATCGTAGCGTTCCATTGCGTATCGTCTTCAAGTAAGCCAAGTAGTTGACAGGCTTCCCGAAATGTCGCACATTTCCGACCATTTACAGTTCTTAGAGCTTCAAACGAAGTTGGACCTCTAATTGTATGGAGTAAAATTCGTAGAAAGAAGCATTCAAAATTATTTGGATGCACAGTGTAGACGCGGCCCAAAGCGTTTGTTGCTCTAATGTTGCGATAGCCAGGTACACTCGTTCCTTGAACACGACGTTTGAAAGCTTTTTCTGACGCGTTCCAAGTGTAAAATTTTGGAACATCGCAATACAGTAGTGTTCTAGCAAATTCATCTTTCTGACATAGTAAGAAAAATGCTGTCAACGTCGTCTTTGGTGGTTCATTAATTCTTTCATGTAAATTGTCTTCCGTGAAATAGACGCGTTGTCCATTTTCTAAGTGAACAGCCAGATGTACTACCGTCGGATGTCGTTCATGAATTGAAAAGTCCAAGATTCGCCAAACTGCTTCATTACTGCTGATGTATCGTCCTAACTGATATTGTTCCACTTCATCAACTGTTGTTCCATCTTTTCCAAAGCCAAACATCGCTTGATCACTACCTTTGTTAACGTATTTGCAAATGTATTTGATCGACTTGACCGAATTGCAATACTCGACATTAATATGAGCTTGAAAAATTCGGGAAAGTAACGGACAGTATGGTACAACCCATTTGTTATCGATTTCAATTTCTTGAATCGAGTTGCCAAATTTGGTCTTGATTCTTGCTTTGAAACCACCATCTTCTGGACTTCGCCTTCTGTAGAGTGGATAACCATCTTCACCTGTTTGTGTATCTTGAATAAGTTGTCTGGGATACCTTTTGGTACACTTTCCATCTTTCATACACGAAGATCCAGGATTGATACTACCGCAAGGTCCATGAATCATGTTTTTCACGACAACCTGAAATAGACGGGGATCTTGTTGACGATCTGGTAATTCTGGACTAATAACGCTGTCTATTTCATCTGGCTTAATTTTGTCTTTCAACCATATCAATATATGAGAATGAGGCAGACCTCTCTTTTGCCATTCAATAGAATACATCCAACATTGTGTTGGTCCAAATACATGGCTTTTGGTAATAATATTCATTAATTTTATGAGTTTTTGCTTGAATACTCTTGCCAGCAGATCATGATGATCGGACGGATTTTGACCATCTAATAGTTCTTCTTGAATTTCTTCCCATGTTGGATTGCAAGTGAATGTTACAAATAGATCAGGTCTTCCGTAGTTTCTCACGTATGTCATAGCATCTTGTGTATATTCGTGCATGTGACGTGGACTTCCAGTGAATGTAGATGGTAGTATTACTAATTGACCAAGGGTATCGGCGTTGCCATCATTAGCTATTGCGTCTCTTAAGTGAATGTATTCGTCTACTCTCAGTTTCTTTTGGTTAAGTCGTATGAACCATAACCGCTCACTTTCGATTTTAGCGTACATGTCAACGATAAATTGATGAAAAAGTTGACGACATCTTAAGATATGATTTATAGCACCAGCTCGCATCATTATTCTGTAAGCATAAAAATCCATGGCCGAAACTTTTTTGCGATCAACGGGCGTTCCTGTTGTCGGATCAGTCTGCATTATGAGAAAATGATATCCATCTTCTCCCTCCCAAAAGATCAGTGGATATTGCAACGCATCATATGACCTGTGTGTTTCTGCCACTCTCTGTAACTGATTGTTTTTCTTCTCCAAAATGATGTCCTGTCTCTCGAATTCGTTACCAGCAATGATGACTGCTACTTCATTTGTAGAAGGTTCGTTGAAGCGTCTTGCATGCTCCCTAGCAGGCTTCTTGTCTGCACTGATAACCACTCTGTATTCGTCAGAAAGCATCTTCTCTAGAGTAGACTTGAAAATATGGACATAGCTGTTATATTGATGAAGCATTCGTTGCAAATCTATAACAATATCTTGTCTTGTACCTGGAATATTATTGCATCGTTGTCTCGCCTGTTGCTGTTCATCTCCCATGAAATAAATTTGAAGAAATTTAGGTTCTTCATTGGTCAGTGGTAACAACGATCCTATGCGATGGTAAACTTGACCTTGAATTTTGAATGTAGGCATGAAACCTGGCTCACACACCTCGCTTGTAACACCAAATGACGTCATTTGAAAACATGAATTATACTTTCGAATGTTCTCCAAGAAATGCTTTGATGTTGTTGTTGTGCCGGACATTAATGATTCCAATGGTTCAGGAGGCTGTCGAAGTGATGGCAGTTTTACTTTACCATTGGAACAGCACATACCTGGTGCTTCGCCAGACCACTTGAGTGCATCACAATATGAGCAAATCTCTGTCATTCGACCAATATAAAGTTGAGGGTGATTGTCATAATTTTTGGTTGGATCATATTGAAATGCTTCCCGTTCCATGAATGACCAACGTGATGCTCGTGAATTGGAACGTCTTCTTCGATCTTCCTCACGCCGTACTTGTTGTTGTTCTGAAGATTCAGCAGCTCTTGAAGCTGCTTGTCTTGTCCGTTGTTCTTCAAGCCGAGTTGTTGTTTGTTCCGCTGTCTCAGCAGCTCTTGAAGCCGCTTGTCTTGTGCGTTTATCTGTATTCCGAATAGTTGTTTGTTCCGCTGTCTCAGCAGCTCTTGAAGCTGCTTGTCTTGTTCGTTGTTCTTCAAGCCGAGTTGTTGTTTGCTCTGGTGTTTCAGCAGCTCTTGAAACAGCTTGCCTTGTGAGTTTATCTGTATTCCGAATAGTTGTTTGTTCCGCTGTCTCAGCAGCTCTTGAAGCTGCTTGTCTTGTTCGTTGTTCTTCAAGCCGAGTTGTTGTTTGCTCTGGTGTCTCAGCAGCTCTTGAAGCCGCTTGCCTGGTTCGTTGTTCTTCAAGCCGATTACTTGCTTGTTCTGGAGTCTCAGCAGCCCTGGAAGCTGCCATTCTTCTTGAAGCTGATGTACTTCTTCCCAAAGAACTTCTTTTTTTCAGTGGCATCGCGTAATATTATCGGAGTAAGTAGAAACGTTAGAAGATATTGTACAAAACTGTGTAGTTTTTTGATAAATAACGATAAAAAAAGACGTCTATATATATCACGAAAAGAATACGAAAATATTTCGATTGTTTTACTCATGACATCATTTAAAAATTCGTATAATAGCATATTACACGTCATAAGGAATATGATGCGTCATTGTAATCCATAACAAATGCCAAAGATACAAAGTAATATTCAAGGCATGTACCAGAACTGACTACGTAATCATACAATCATATGGTATGTATATCTACATTACGTATGGAATTGCCATTTGAGTCAGCAGAAATAAAAACAAATACATCATTATTTTAAGCAAAAAATACGATTCATATTCATACATTTTTCAGTGTGATGCGATATGAAACCCACATAAAAAATTTCGATAGAAATATAAACCAATTCTTTCTCATTGTATCAATTAAATAATGGAACTCATTTTATTTCACCTTTATTCGATTTTAATCCATTAAAATTTGGTAAAAATCAATTATAATCGATCACAATTTTTCTGTCTTGATATTTCCTTTCAATATTTATGCATGCATATATATCAGCTTGATAGTGATAGGCAAAAATTTCACAAATCAAAATCACAGAAAAAGAAGATTTTTAAATTTCTGAAATATTGACATAAATGCAATTTGAAGGAGCTTGTGTATATCCAGGGAGAGAAAACACAGATAGAAGATATAAATACATAAAATATATGAATGCTAGTGCATGTGCGCTCAGACGGCCTTCGGCCGCCTTCGCTACAGATATTTTTTCCATTATTTTTGGAATTATGATATGAATATATGTATATATATACAAAAATCGTGTAAATTGTAGTAGATGTGCGCTCAGACGGCCTTCGGCCGCCTTCGCTACCGATTAATTGACTGTTTTGAAATGCTGCAATCCTATTGGTCAGTTACATTTGCAGCCTGTAGCAAGGGAACGATTGATTTTTTTTCGAAAAAAAGTGGACGTCGACCTTTCCCAGGACTCAGAAAAGAATTATGGAAAGTTTGGTGACTATAGTTATAACAGGGACTGAGTGCATCGCGAACAAACAAACACACAAACACACAAACAGACATTCTTCTTTATATATATAGATAATACTTTGGTTGCTCGTGAACCAAATGAACATATTTCGTCTTGTTTATCTGGAGCAAGTAAAGTTATTATTGATCAAGCACTGGACAAAATGAAGAAAAGAGCAAGAGAAGAAACAACTTCGATTTCCATAATTTATGCTCAAGAAATCATATCAGCTAAAGTGGCAAATCCAGGGATGCCAACCGACTTATATTTTCCCACGCTAACCAGTGAAGACTCCACGCTTTATTATCATCGATTTTTAAATTATCCTGTACTTCCAAAAAGTTTAGAAGATTTGACAATAACAGGATCTTGGAGATTATCAAAGTTTGACAAACCGTTCTTTTTATTGGACCATACTTGTAAGTTTGTTGCCTATATAATCGGTAATCGTGGACTGCTGCTATTTTTAGATGGATCTGCATGAACGATTATTAATTTTTGGTACACATTGAAGTTTATCTTTTCTTGGTTCATGTACATCTTGGCATTCGGATGGTACTTTCCAAACTTGTCCTCATTTATTCAGTCAGATATACATCATATTTGGTTTTACAAGTTGTTATATGATACCTTCTTTATATTGCGTAACTTCTAAAAATAATCGGTTGACGTATGATAAAATTTTTCATGATATAATTTCATTAGGTGTTTCACGTGGAATTCAATTTACTTCCGAAAGACTGGCGTGTGACTTTGAACCTGCAGCTATAAGAGCATTTTCTTCTGTTTTTCCAACTGCCAGCATTCATGCATGCTTCTTTCACTATTCACAAGCCTTGTGAGCGAGAATTCGAGATTTAAAATTAACTCGTCTTGTTACTTGTCGTAACACCAACAATAAAACACCTGAAGAACAACTTAAATCAGCTACATATTGGTTTCATGAAGCTATTGGACTTGCTCTCATTCCACCCTCTCTTATTGAAAATATTTGGATTGATTTAATGCATACATATACTCTGGATACTAATAATGCAATTCAATTCAATGATTATATTGTAGAGAATTGTGTTGATCATGATTCTAGTCTTTTCCCTATAAACTTATGGAATGTCAATAAACTTGTTGTGGAAAAACATCCGCGAACAAACAATCACGTAGAAAGGTATAATCAGAGGATGAAGATTGCCTTTCCAATTCACCCTCACATATATGAATTTATTCGCTTTCTACAGGACGAACGTGTCTTTCAACCATATCAACCCAGGTCGAATCTCTCCAACAGGATCCTATCGGATCTTTGAAGAATCCGACGCTTGCCGACTGTCGACATCCGAGCGGATCCGTCTGTCGGAAACCATCATTATCCATTAACTTCCGACGACTTCCGACGTCGAATTTTGTTGTGTTTCGACAATAGGATCTGATGACATCCGATGGTATGAAAGTATCTATAGATACTTGAATTTCCTTACCCTTTTAGTTTATTTATCTTTTTTATTTATTTTTTGCTTCATTTTTTATTTGATTCTTTTTATTTAATTTTTTCGTTTTTAATTTATTCCATTTCATTTTATTTTATTTTTCAATTTAATTTAATTTAATTTTTTAATTTAACTTTATTTTATTTTATTTTACTTTTCAATTTAATTTAATTTTTTAATTTAATTTGATTTGATTTGATTTTTTAATTTAATTTTTTTTAATTCTATTTTATTTAATTTCTTTCTATTTTATTTTAGTTATTTTTATTTTATTTTCTTTTATTCATTTTTATTTTTTTTAGTTTTAATTATTTTTATTTTATTAATTTTTAGTTTATGTTAGTAATTTTTATTTTATTTAATTTCTTTTTATTTTATTATTTTAGTTGTTTTTGTTTTTATTTTACTGCTT